TTACTATTTATCTACACATTTATAAATAGTGTGGATTTAACTAGGTTAACAAGACATTAGGCCAGGATTCCTTATTCTTTTATATTCAGTGACATAGTGCTGAGTAGACAGGCAATACTGCAATTTTTTTTTTTTTTAATTTTTGGTGACAGGAACTGCCCCAATTATTAATAGAAGTTACTTCTGAGTAATAGGGTTACACATGATCTGTATTTTCTTTATATTGTTCTTATTTTTCACAGTGAACATACATAACAAAAGAAAAAAATCATATATAAAGAAGAGAAGTATTTAAAACCATACTGTAGGTAGCTGTAGTCCTTCATTCACTGTGTGGTCTTTCTGAGCCTCAGTTTTCCCTCATCCATAAAACAGAGATTGACCTAGGGTCCTGCTCACTTTTAGCATTGTAAGTTTTGTGATTCATCTTTTTCCTGTCTTTCAGCCTTTCCTCTGGTATTAGCATTCAATGTCATATAGTTTCTGCCATCTTAAAAATATGGAATTTTTAGACACTTCTCCATACTCCCAGCTTTTTCTTCCACTTTTCACCTTAAACTTCTCAAAAAAAAGTATCTACAGTTACTGTCTTAATTCCTCACTCTTCACCTCACCCCTCTCTGCTTTCTATCCCCACCACTGCCAAGATCACCAGTGAGTTCACATCAAAGTCCTGTGGGCACACTTAGTCCTCATTCTCGGTTACCTCTCAGCAGCATTATCTTCAGCCTCTTAATGAAATTTCATTTGGCTTCTGTGTCATCACACTTAATGGCTGTTATTTTACAGTTTTCTATGGAGATTATCCTCTTCTCCCTCGTTCACCCACCAAAGCCACTGCCTCAGTTCACTGCCTTGTTGGGAAACGCCCTGTCTGGTTTCAGGAACTGTTGCCCTGCCAACAGGCAAGAGGGCTCCAAAGTTGAGGTTAATCAAGGAGCCCTGGGGGAAATAGGCCACTGAGGAGATGAAACCTGCCCCTCTGGCAGGGGTGAAGCCCTTGCCTCCCTCACATCACCTTGCTTGGCCCTGTGATGGTTGTTTAGTCAAAGACGGGTAAGATCTCTCATGAGGCGGGACAACCTAAGTCAGACACGGCCGATATGGGCAGCAGACAAGGACTTGGGGAACATGGAGAAAGGGCAAAAAGGCCCATACCCCTTGGCTCAGCTTGGACATGGCCGGAATCCTCATTCTATCTGAAAGAAGTCTCCTTATCTCTTCCTGGCTCTGCCCAGCCCATCTGGCTCAGGCTTGAAACAATATTAAAGGCAGGTACAGCCCTAAACTGGATCAGGCGGTTCCCGGGGACAATCAGGCATAGAAGTAAGTTCCTCTAAGCATGCTTGTTCTTCCCTCAAAAGCCATGATAACCAGCTCATACTGGGAAGGATATTTACATTCTTCATTGAACCTGACCTGAGGCAGATCTCTTGTGTTCCTTCAGTTGTTATCTATGGTCTCTCCTTTGAGACTGGGAGTTTCTCTTGCCACTGCAACTCCCACGTATTTTTACAGTCAGGGGTTTTGAGTCTTTAGTTTCCTGTCCTGAGGCCCTAGATTTCGCTATCAGGGTTGCTCCCCTGTTGTCCCTCCTGGCTTATCCACACAGGAACATGGGATCGCCTGCCATGGTCCGCCAGCTGCTGCCTAGCCACCCGCCGTCTCTGCCCGGACCTCCTCCGCTCTTACCAGTCTGGATGAGTGTTTGTTTAAGCCCTTGGTTGTTGGATTTTAATGCAGTTTGATTTTATGGCAGTACTGGTTGTCTTTTGTTTTTAAATTGGTTGTTATCTTTCTTTTGGTTGTGCAAGGAAACGAAGCATCTCTGCCTGTGCCTCCATCTTGGCCGGGTCCTCTTCTCTCCCCATGAATTTTTTGACAAAATTTAAAATATAATAATTGAGTACAATTTTTGTAACACAGTTCTGCTAATAAGAAGAATGGAATTGGGAGGTGGAGGGATAACATCTTGCTTATTAAGGGTTCAAAATTAGTGTTTCTTTTCATCAAAATCCAATTCAAATGTTCATTTATTAATGCATATCTGTAATGAAATTTTACTATTTTTATCTTTGAAAAATGTGTTTTCACACTGGTTATACATGTAGCAGTGGAAATTTTGCAATTTTCAGCGCTAAAAAGCTCTGCAAAGTGATGAGAGAGCTGCATACAGTCATTCATAGCTACTCAGCTCTTCATTGTAGCACAAAGTTGCCATAGAAAATATGTAAAGAAATGAGCTTGGCTGTGTTCCAGCAGAGCTTTATTTATGGGTACTGAAATTTGAATTTCATATAATTTTCATTGTCACAAAATACTATTCTGTTGATTTTTTTCAACCATATAAAACTTTTAAAAGCATACAAAAACAAGCAACAGGCTAGATTTGTCCAATTGGCTGTAATTGGCTTATCCCATGTCCCCATTCTATGTTTTTATCCTTTGCCCAACACCACATTGTCAGGATTACTGTAGCTTTATGCTAAGTATTGAAATCAGGTAATCTAATTCTTCCAGCGTTTTTTGCCTCCAAATTGTTTTGGCTGTTCTAGTTCCTTTGCTTTTTCATATAAATTTTTGAATCAGCTTGTGATTTCTACAAAACAAATTCTCCTTGAATTTTGGATGCAATTATGTTAAATCTACAGAACACTTTGAGTACAAGTGACATCGTAACAGTGTTAAGAGAACGTAGTATATGTATTCATTTATTTAGGTCTTTGATATCTTCTATCAGTGTTTTGTACCTTTCTGCATATAGATTTTAGAATTTACATATTTTGTTAAACATATACTTATGTTTTTCTTGTTTTTTTTTTTTTTTTTTAGTTATAGCTATCTTTTTAAAAATGCAAATTATATCATGTTGTTTTGCCTGTTTAAAACCCTCCAGTGACTTCACACGCCTCTTAGGATAAACTCTAATCTTTAAAAGCCTAAAAAGCCCTGCATGATCGGGCCTGGCTTTCCTTTTTTTAGCCGAATTTTATGCTGTTCTTCTTATGCAAAATGTTCTGGTCTCAGACTGGCAGGGCATCATTTTCTCAACTAAGGGGTATAGCTTTTAGAATACTTGAAAGAGTAAATACATGTTTTTAAACAAACACTTGAAAAGTATATTTTAGCCTTATTGAACAGAGCAATTTAAGGATCTTCATCAAATAAAGAATTTAGATTTGGACTGGATTGTTGGAATTCTTTGATCTTTAGGTCTGTACTTCTTTTATTGGGGCAGAGTTTTTTATGAGTATTGTTTATAAGGGACTTAGTTTTGTATATATTTGCTGAAGAAAAGAGCTTTTCCTTCCTTGTAAATGTGCTGAAACGACCAAAAGGCTAGTTTTCTGGCCAAAGCAAGGATTCTGTTACTGCCATACAGAAATTGAAGTTAAACTTTTCAACTATTAAAATAGTTCTTGCATGTACGTGCCTACTGCCAACTTCATTATAATATCCCAAGTAGAAGTGTAAGACTAATGATGTCCTGTGGAAAGGTCTGCAGCTATGTTCCTAAGACAGTAGAAGAGAGCCACAAGACTGTTTAACAAAAAGGAAATTAACTTTAAAACCAGTACTTTAATTGACCAGTGTTTATTCAGCTCTGTGTGCTAGATATATACAGATGATAAGATATAGTCCAGGGCTTAAAGAAGGTAAAAACTTCTTTATGTGAGGAAACAATTAAAAATGAAAGTGCTGGTAAATGGACATATGTCTGAGTGACTTTGATAGTACCAAGGAAAAATAAGTAGCCCAGTGGGATTTAGGGTATAAAGATAGGACTGTTTAATTTTCAAAACATAAGACTAGAAGGAAATATCATGAAAACTTAAGGGACTTGTATTCCATCCTATAACTAGAGATTCCAGTACCTCAATGCACAGAGAATTACCTGGAGAGCTTATTTTAAAATTTAAATATCAGATTCCCCAGGTTCATCTCTCAGAGATTTACTAGGTTTGCCTAGGGTGGTTTCCCAGATAGTTCTTATTTAGCTAGCAACCTTCAGTCTGCAAAGTGGCATTTGGTATCCAATGCGATAGGTAAGATTGAGCCACAGAATAGTTAAGCTAGGTAAGAAGATGGTCATATTCGCATTTTATAAAGCTAAATATGATGGTAGTATAGAACAGTGGAATCACCAGAGAATCTTATTAAAATACAGATTCTGATCCAGTAGTCTAAGATACTCCCTTTTTAGCAAGCTCCCAGCTGAGGCTGATACTACTTGACTGAGGATCACCACTTCGAATAACAAGGATAGAGAGTTTGGATTGGAATGGGGCGAAACTGCAGACATGAAGATCAGTTAACAGCCTATTGCAGTAATCTAGGCAAATTAATTACTCATAGTGTTTGGTAATGGCAAAAATGAGTTCTAGTAAAATGTAATAGATAAAATTGGCAAGACTAATTTAGGGAGTTAGTAGGATGTGGTGTTAGGATTGAGGGGAAGGGTGTCAAGAATGGTTTGCATATCAATAAAGAAAAAAGTTTAAAAAAAGAATGGTCTGAAGGTTGAAGGTTAGCTGTCTAGGTGGATGGCATTAATTGAACTAGGATAAAAGAGGAAGAAGATGGCCTGGGGGGTAGAGAAAGGCTGGTTAGAGTAGAATAGTTTCTTAGAGTTGAGAAAGGGGATATAGCCAGAAGGTTAGTTTTAAATGCATTGAGTTTGAGGAGTCTATGAGATATCTAAAATGTAAAGGGTGGGTAGAAGAAGAGGAACCCACAATAGACCAAGAAGTCTCAGACGGGTTGGTGGGGGTAGCAGTTTCAAAAGCATTTCCAAGGTCACAGTATCATTACCATAGAGACATCAAACAAAAGATTAGATAGGGTTCAACGAGAGTGCATAAAAAACTTTCCAATTAGTTTTTATCTCAGTATTTTAATTTAAGGAACAGAGCCAATTTTTTTATGCCATTCATCATGAAAAGCCTCATAGTGCTTTCATAATCCATTCAGATTTTCTTCTTTCCCCCCTCCCCCCACAGATTGATGATACTTAACAAGAGCTGCTACAATACATAGGGGAGGTGAAAACTAACAGATGAAAGTTTTGCCATGCACTGAAAGGAAAGCATTGTCTGTGAAGTTCTGCTTTTTAAAATGTCTGCTTGTAACACCTTTACTGAACACGTTTGGAAACCTGGTGAATGCAAGAACTGCTTTAAACCTAAAAGCTTGCACCAGCTCCCTCCAGACCCTGAGAAGACGCCCATCACCCATGGCAATGTGAAAACTAATGCCAATCACAGTAACAATCACCGTATCAGGAGCACCGGAAATTTCCGGCCTCCTGTGGCTAAAAAACCCACTATAGCTGTGAAGCCCACTATGATGGTGGCAGATGGGCAAAGTGTATGTGGTGAGTTTAGCATTCAAGGACACTGTGAGAACAAACCTGTCATTATAGGGAGGAACCAAAACAGGACAGCTTTGAATAAGAAACCACTCAATAATAATAATGAAAATGATATTGAAGGAGTTAGCCATATTTCTAAACCTTGTGGCAATAATGATAATGCAAAGAAGATATCAGATAACAATAATGGACTAACCGAAGTGTTGAAGGAGATAGCAGGCTTGGATACTACCCCTCAGATTGGAGGAAATGAAACCAACTCCAGAGAAATATTCTTGGGAAGAATAAATGATTGCTATAAACGGTCATTGGAAAGAAAGCTTCCACCAAGTTGCATGATGGGTGGGATAAAGGATACTCAGGGCAAGCACGTTATTCTGAGTGGGAGCACAGAAGTGATCAGCAATGAAGGGGGCCGGTTCTGTTACCCAGAATTTTCTAGTGGTGAGGAGAGTGAGGAAGATGTACTTTTCAGTAACATGGAGGAGGAGCGTGAGAGCTGGGATGAAAGTGATGAAGAGCTGTTGGCCATGGAGATTCGTATGAGAGGGCAACCTCGCTTCGCTAACTTTAGGGCAAATACTTTGTCTCCTGTTCAATTCTGCGTGGACAAGAAATGGAATACTGTTCCTCTGCGAAATAAGTCTCTGCAGAGAATCTGTGCTGTAGACTATGACGATAGTTACGATGAAATCCTAAATGGTTATGAAGAGAATTCTGTAGTCTATGGACCAGGAAGTACTCAGAGCATGGTGTCATCTGACTCCACATCACCAGATTCTTCTTTAACAGAAGAATCACACTCTGAGACAGCCAGTAGTTTATCCCAGAAAATTTGTAATGGGGGAGTATCTCCTGGTAAACCAGCAGATTCTAAAGATATGAAAGATAGTGAGCCCAATTGTGAAAGTCTCTCTGGTAAGAGTCAGGAGGATTCATCACAAGCATTAAAAAGCTCATTAAAAATTCCAGAGACTCACAAAGCAGTCCTTGCTCTCAGATTAGAAGAGAAGGATGGCAAGATTGCTGTACAAACTGCAAAGCAAGGAAGTAAAGCCTCTACAGATATTGCTGGGCAAGCAGTAATCATAAACCTCATTCCTGTACAAGAGCAAGCCAAGCCCTACCGTGTTGTGAATCTCGAACAGCCATTATGCAAGCCATATACCATTGTGGACGTGTCAGCAGCCATGGCTAGCGAACACCTTGGGGGCCCTGGTAACAACCGCAAGACAAAAAGCTCATCTTCTGCTCCAAACTCTCCAGTGACACCACCTATATCGACATCAGGTCAAATAGGTGCCCGTTTCCAAAAATCCAGTGCAATTCGATACCAAGAAGTATGGACTTCCAGTACCAGTCCAAGACAAAAGATACCTAAGGTAGAATTAATTAGTGGTGGAACTGGACCAAATGTCCCTCCAAGGAAAAACTGTCACAAATCAGCACCTACTTCACCCATAGCTGCAAATGTTTCCTCCAAAACCATCCCTGTTAAGTCACCGAATTTGTCTGAAATAAAATTTAATAGTTACAACAATGCTGGTATGCCACCTTTTCCAATTATCATCCATGACGAACCAACTTATGCTCGGAGTTCCAAAAATGCCATCAAAGTTCCCATTGTTATCAATCCAAATGCATATGACAATCTAGCCATTTATAAAAGTTTTCTCGGAACAAGTGGAGAACTTCCAGTGAAGGAAAAAACCACAAGTATGGTAAGCCACACTTACGAAGAAATAGAAACTACAGGAAAAGTGTCTGAAGACACCACTAGCAACCCCATTGATTATCCCCAAGATAAAGGGTTTTCAAATAGCGCAGAAAGTAAAAGGGGCTCAGTAGCTCAGAAGGTCCAGGAGTTTAACAGTGGTCTCAACAGAGGTCAGTCTTCACCACAGAGAAGCTATAGTTCCAGTCACAGCTCCCCAACAAAGATCCAGAGAACCACTCAAGAACCTGTTGCCAGAACAGAAGGCACTCAGGGGTCTCAGATGGTAGTCAGTGGCAGCAGCAACAGGGAGAAAGCAAGTACAGTGCTCTCTCAGATTGTGGCTTCTATTCAACCTCCACAGTCTCCTCCAGAAGTGCCCCTGTCAGGCCATAAAGCTTGCAGTGTGGAAAAGCTTTATGCAATTCCTCCAGATGTCGATGCTGCTAAGAGTACACCAGTCCGGCCCAAATCTCTCTTTACATCTCAGTCCAGTGGTGGACATGAAGCACCTCAGAACCCAGAAAATCTTACCACTGAAGTACAGAAAGATCCACTGGCAAAGCCAGTCACCACCTCCTCCTGCAAATTAGTGACTAATCCCGAAAGTGAGCCACCACCTCCTTTTCCCCCACCACGCTCTACTTCCTCCCCTTACCATGCAAGTAACCTTTTGCAGAAGCATTTCACCAACTGGACCAAGTCAGCCAGCCCTACCAGGTCAACAGAAGCTGAATCAGTTTTGCACTCTGAAGGCAGCAGACGTGCAGCTGATGCAAAACCTAAACGCTGGATATCATTTAAAAGCTTCTTCCGCCGCCGGAAAACAGATGAGGAGTATGATAAAGAGAAAGAACGAGAGAAAGGGAAACTGGTGGGCTTGGATGGCACAGTCATCCACATGCTACCCCCTCCTCCAGTTCAACGCCATCATTGGTTCACAGAAGCAAAAGGAGAGTCCAGTGAGAAACCAGCCATTATCTTCATGTACAGGTGTGACCCTGCCGAAGGGCAGCTCAATGTGGATCAGAATAAGGCCAGAGAAGACCACTCAGCAGTCATGGAGAAGAGTGGAACACAGGATGGGTTACTACAGGATTCACGGGAAAAGAAAAAGAGTCATTCTTCTCCATTACAGATTCCTAAAACAATTCTCAGGTATGTAAAATAGACTGGCAGAATGTGGGAACTTTTTAAAAATTTAATCTTTATTATATTTTTTCCATTACCATGTAGTCTTCTTATACCCTCCTCTCCCCAACAATCACCACACTGTTATCCATGTACATGATGTCTTTTTTCTTTTTGCTCAATCCCTTCCCCCCTCGCCTCCCTCCTCGACTAGCTGTCATCTGTTCTCCATCTATGAGTCTGTCCCCACTTTCCTTGTTAGTTCAGTTTGTTCATTAGATTCCAAGTGTGAGTGAAATCATATCGTATTTGTCTTTTTCTGGCTGGCTTACTTCACTTAGCATAATGTTCTCCACGTTCATCTATACTGTCACAAAGGGTAAAATTTTCTTTTCTTTTTTTTTTACAGCCACGTAGTATTCCATTGTGTAAATGTCCCATAGTTGTTTCATCCACATATCTACTATTGGACACCTGGGCTGCTTCCATATCTTGGTGATTGTTAAATAATCTAGAGTGAACATAGGGATGCTTTTGTCCTTTTGAATTAGTATTTTGGGTTCCTTCAGATATATTCCCAGAAGTGGGATCTCTGGGTCAAAAGGGCAATCCATTTTTAATTTTGAGGTATCTCCATAGTGCTTTCCACAGTGGCTGCACTAATCTGCATTCCCACCAACAGTGCAGAAGGGATCCCCTTTCTCACCAGCACTTGTTTGTTGGTTTATTAATGATAGCCATTCTGACAGGTATGATATGGTATCTCATTGTGGTTTTAATTTGCATTTCTCTGATGATTAGTGATGTTGAGCATCTTTTCATATGTCTGTTGGCCATCTGTATGTCCTCTTTGGAGAAGTGTCTATTCAGGTCCTTTGCCCATGTTTCAATTGAGTTGTTTGTTCTTTTGGTTTTGAGTTTTGTAAGTAGTTTATAAATTTTAGTTGTTAACCCCTTGTCAAATGTATCAGTGTCTTGCAACCTGTCAAGGCCAGGCAGGTTCACTTGAGATTCTGACAGACGGAAGAAAAGTCATGGAGCCGTGGGCATGCTTGACATGCTTTTATTCAAGGGTGGGCAAATCCACACATGCTGTAAGCTGCGTGTGTTAGTGGGGAGCCCCTACCTCCTTACATGCTAAAAACAGACAAAGCTGGCGGGGAGCCAACAGGTTGTATAACACAGCAAGATTCTGTGTCTGCGAGCCCACTCAAGGCTATGGGAATACTTACTGGACCCAGTCTCAAGGCCATGGGAATACTTATTGGGCCCAGTCTCAAGTCTATGAGAACACTACTTATCTTAGTTCCCCAGATATCTGGGTGAGGAAGCCAGAATGCCTCTGTTTACCCTGCAATCCACCTCTTCTGGGTTCCTCACCGTACAATCTACGCGAGGATATCTTCTGCGAAGTTTCCTTGGCAAGGACAGCAGGGCCCTGCACCCATAAACCACAATAGCAGTAAACACTACAGCAGCAAGCAAGCAAAGCACAAGTGCTGCTGCCCAAGACAGCAAAGACCCGCCATCTTTCAGTGGTTAGAGATGCCCACCATTCCTGCAAGGTATCGCCTGTCAGGCGTTCAATGACACGGGTCTCAGAAGTTAATGCCCATAAAGCTTGACTAACATTATGATAGACATCAGGAACATATACACAGTATTCAGCTCCTACTTAGGCACACACTCCACCTGGGGACACAGTAAGCATATCTAAGGCCATATGATTTTGCAAGGCTACTTTTCTTAATTGATACACTTCCTCATTTAACACGCTTAAAGAATCATGTGTTGCATTCAATGCACGAGCAGTGTGCAAAACTAAAGCAATTATCTCAGTGACTATAGAAATAGCTTGAGGAGAAAAAATAGGCAATGGGTAATACCACCAAGGAGCATGCTTTACCCGGTGTTGTGCCTTAAACGCTGCCCAATTAATTGGCCAGACTGCAAGAGTTTTCTGAACTCGAGCAGGTAAACAGGGCCATCCCCAAGTACAACAGCCAGTCCAATTCTCAGTCAGGCAAGACCACCCACGTGAGCCACACACCCAGAGTGCTCCAGTGGGAACTGCAGCCCATGCAAACCCACACCTCCCAGAAATGCTTTAGGGTCTGATGGGGGTGGTTCAGGCACCAGATGATGGGGGTCCCAGCTCGCATGCAGAGTTCCCCCGAGGGTCGATGTGGATGGAGGAAATAAAATAAGTCATTCCAGACACTTCTCGGTCTGCCAGGAAAAGAGGGTGGCGACTCCCTCTAGTGGAGAATGCCCCGAGCCCTTCTCATGCAGTGGCTTTTATTGAGAACCCTGATATGTGCAGGGATATACAGCATGAATGCAAAGCTCATCAATCAATGTCAAAAGTCTATGTTTACAGAAAAGAGAGATCATAGATAACACTGGAAGGAACATAGAGATTTGCCTCAGGTCAGAGTCTGGTTGGCAGGTTGGTACCCATTTGGCCCTGAAACCTGGGAAACTGATCACATTCTCTGCTTGACCCCAGACATCAGAACTCGTTAACTCAGCAAAGTAAGTTTCATAGGATTTAATGCATTCCTTTTCCATACCCTATGGTCCCTGGGAACTGCCTGATCCAGTTTAGGGCTGTACCTGCCTTTACTATTGTTTCAAGCCTAAGCCAGGCTGGTGGAGCAGAGCAGCCAAGAGATGAGGAGACTTCTTTCAGATAGAATGAGGACTCTGGCCATGACAAAGCCAAGGGGTGAGGGTCTTTTGCAACTTCTCTGTGTCCCCCAAGTGCTTCCTAGATGGCCCCTATGCAACTGCCAGTCTTAGGTTGCACCTGCCATCGAGGGGTCTTATCCATCCTTGAGTAACCAGCCATCCTCCAGGGCCAAGCAGAGTGAGGTGAGGGAGGCAGGGGCTGCACGCCTGCCGGAGGTACAGGTTTTGTCTCCTCAGTAGCCTATTTTGCCAGGGCCTTCTTGCTTAGCTCCAACTTTGGGGCCCTCTTGCCCATTGGCAAAGCTACAGTCCCTGAAAACTAGGCGGTACGGTTCCCAGCAAGAGTGTGAGTCTGACATAGACCTGTCGGAGTCCAGCCGTTCTGGGTTTGTCATTCAGGGTGCTGGATTTTATCAAATGCTTTTTCTGCATCTGTTGATATGATCATGTTGTTTTTATACTTCATTTTGTTTATGTGGTGAATCCAATTTTATTGATTTGCAATGTGCCAACTTTGCATTCCCGAAATAAATCCCACTTGATCATGGAGTGTGATCTTTTGATGCATTACTGTATTTGGTTTGCTGATATTTTGTTGAGGATTTTACTGTCTGTGTTCATCAGGGATATTGTCCTATAATTTTCTTTGTTTGTAGTGTCTTTATCTGGTTTTGGAATTAGGATAATGCTGGCCTTGTAAAATGATTTAGGAACCTTCCCTCCTCTTGAATTTTATAAAATAGTTTGAGGAGAGTGCTGTTAGTTATTCTCAGAATATTTAGTAAAATTCACCTTGAGGCCTTCTGGTCCAGGGCTTTTGTTTGTTGGGAGCTTTTTAATTACTGCTGTGATTTCACTAGGTGTGATCTGTCTATTCAGGTTCTCCAATTCTTCCTGATTTAGTTTTGGAAGATTGTATGTTCCTGGGAATTTATCCATTTCATCCATGTTGTCCAGTTTGTTGGCATATTGTTGTTCATAATATTTTCTTAGAATCTTTTGTATTTCTTTGCTATCAGTTGTTATTTCTCCTCTTTCATATCTGATTTTATTTATTTAGGTCCATCCTCTTTACTTGGTAAGTCTAGTTAAAGGTTTGTCAATCTTGTTTATCTTTTGAAAGAATCAGCTCTTGATTTCACTGATCTTTTGTATTGTTTTGTAAAACTCTATTTCATTTATTTCTGCTATGATCTTTATTCTTTTCTTCCTTCTGTGCACTTTCATCTTTGTTTGTTGTTCTTTTCAAGTTCCTTTAAGGGTAAAATTAGATTGTTTATTTGAGCTTGTTCTTTTCTTTTTGTTTCCTTCCTTCCTTCCTTCCTTCCTTCCTTCCTTCCTTCCTTCCTTCCTTCCTTTTCCTTTTTTTTTTTTTTTTGAGATAGACCTGTAATGCTATGAAAATCCCTCTTAGGATTGCCTTCCCAGTGTTCCACAGATTTTGGATTGTTGTGTCCTCATTTCTAATTTGTTTCAAGGTATCTTTTGATTTATTCCTTGATCTCTTTGTTGACCCATTCATTGTTTAATAACACGTTATTTAACTTCCATGTCTTTGCTTGTTTTTCAGTGTTCTTGTGATTGATTTCTAATTTCATAGCATTGTGGTTAAAAAAGATGCTTGATATGATTTCAGTCGTCTTAAATTTATTGAGACTTGTTTTGTATCCTAACTTGTGGTCTATCCTCGAAAACTTTCCATGTGCACTTGAAAAGTATGTATATTCTACTGTGTTGGGATGCAGTGCTCTGATGATACCAATTTAAATCCATTTGATCTAGTGTGTTGTTTGAGGCCACTGTTTCCTTGTTGATTTTCAGCCTGGAAATTCTATCCATTGATGTCAATGGGATATTAAAACTCCTTACTATGGCTGTGTTTCTGTCAGTCTCTCCCTTTATGTCCATCAAGATTTGCTTGGCATATTTATGTGCTCCTGTGTTGGTTGTGTAAATGTTTACTAGGATTATATTCTCTTGTTGGATTGTTCCCTTTATCATTATGTAGTGTCCTTCTTTGTCTCTTACTATAGCCTTGGTTTTAAAGTCTATTTTGTTTAAGTACTGGTACCACAGCTTTTTTTTTCTTCTCTATTTGCATGAAACATCTTTTCCCATCCTTTTACTTTTAGTCAGTGTATATCTTTTGATTTTGTGGTGGGTCTCTTGGAGGCAGCATATATAATGGATCTTTTTTTCTTATCCATTCAGCTACTCTTTGTCTTTGGGTCTGAGCATTTAAGCCATTTACATTTAAGTTGATTATTGATATAAGTATGTAGTGCCATTTTATGGTTAGACTGTTTTCCTCTGTTTTTCTTTTCTTTCTCTTTTTT